GGAAAAATAACTCGACAATTTCAGACTCCCTCATATCCAAGCATCAGCTGCATGGTTGCTGCTGTTGCTACCCAGGCAGTGGTTGAGACAGTAGTAAGGACAGCTGGAGCAGACTACGACAATGTGGGCAAGGGGATTACTTCTTCATATTCCTACCTGCTCTGCAATTGCTATTATCAGCATCCAGACTCACGGTACCCTAGCAAAGAAAGGCCTAAGCGTGTTAGACCAAGAGGTCTATCTCTGATAAGCCATTCATGCATGCTGAAATTCTGGAGACAAATGGAAAATGAGGAAATTATTTGTTTTCCTAAAACCTTCTAAAGAACAGAAGTTATTTTAACAGGCCTATACTTGGTTGGCTTACTGGTATTCTCCAGTCATGAATTTGATAGATTTATTAAACCTTGGGTTTTATAGATTCACCAAAATCATTGCTATTTACCCTATTCTTTAGGTGAAATGGGGTTTCTCAGGTGAACAGCAACAACCAAGGAGAATGCAGCCCTGAATGAGAGTAACAATTGTTTACAGCTCTTATAATTTCAGTAGGTGCCTTTCTTCCCCAGTACCAATGCTAGTGGCATTGTGCAATGTTCATTTTGATCCCTAGATTTGTGGAAAAAAAAAGAATATAAGAATGTAGACAATTTGCCCATTTTAAAAAATGCTGCTGTTGTATTTTTATATTATAATAATCTCTGGCTCTGGTCCTAGATTTGGAATAACCCTTCCCTGCATGCCAGATTTTTGGATATTCTTTCTAAGAATATTAATTTTTGAAGAGCTTAAACCAGAGAAGGGTTCTCAGATGAAGCTGTTCTGCACTTGGCATGCCCTACTCTGTTACAGCCTGTGTGATTTTTCTAGTCACAGAATATTCTCTTGTATTTCTAGCCAGATGACACTCATTTATACCTATAAATGGGTTATTTCTTCCCCTTTCTCTAGCTTTCTATGTACCATCTAATAATCCAGCAGCAATTCCCGGTGGGTCAAACTCCTAAACTTCAAAAATTTCTAAAATGTAAGTGCAAACACAAAAGCCCAGGAACGTGCCAAAACCAATTAACTAAAATCTACCTGAAATAAATGAGCTTCCTTGTCTGCATCCAAAGTCTGTGGAAATCTACAGGAAGAATAGCACTCAAAGTTTTAGGCCAAATGATATATCACAGCCCATGAATGTTGCAAGAGTGAGCCTCTAGTGACCTGCTATGGTATACCAAAGGGAGTGTCAATGGAGGAAGTCCAATTAGTTTCACAGCTATCTAAAATTTGAATGACTGGTCCTTAATGGAGCCTAATAGGTGAAATGTAAGAAAACGAAAAAGGTCCAGAATGAGGGTGTTTCTCTATTTGTTTAGGTGAACTAATATAGATTTTGAAGTCAGAACCTTGCCTTATTCTGAATTGATGGAAAATTTGTTTCTCCATTGGTAGGGTTTGGTTTTGTCTCAGTTAATGGGAAACACAAGATGTTTTCTGCTTTTCTATTATGGTAAGCAAGTAGAATTTTTCAAACACCATAACTCCTATAAAGCTGTTTGTACAAGCTCAAAAGCGTCCTACAGTGCTAGTACCATGCTCTTTGTCAATTCTAGTGGTAAGATAGTGTGGTATCTTTGATCCTAGATCTACTTCTCCAGCGACATTTAGTAACATCTGTCCTTCTGGGAAGGCCTTTGTAATGGTGAAAGTTTTCAAGTCTATCCCTCCTCTGCTTTGTAGCACAAAGAAATGCTTCTTACCAACGTATGTAATCCACTGCATTTTATGCTTGAAATCGTCTTACTAATTACAAATGTGTTAGTTTTCCTTGACCAAAGAGGTACTCTCACCAGCAAGTGTCCTAGTGAAATGCTGCCCCAAATTCATGTCTTTTTAGTAAGGCCTAGATTTAGCTCTATAGAATAAGACAAGATTTTTACTAACAGTTTGGATACTGGTGACTGGTCCAGTAGGTAAAACGATTCCTGTTCTTCTCACATCGTATGTCTTCGTTAAATATAACTAAGAACCTCGCAGTTTTTCGGTTGGTAGGTGTTATGGGTTTGCATGGCAAGGTTTTGGTAGCAGGGGGGCTATAGGGGTGTCTTCTGTGAGAAGCTGTGAGAAGCTTCCCCCATGTCTGATAAAGTCAGTGCCAGCCAGCTCTAAGAAGGACCTGCCACTGGCCAAGGCCAAGCCAATCAGCGACGGTGGTAGCACCTCTGGGATAACATATCTAAGAAGGGGAAGAAAAATAAACAGCAGTGAAAAAGGCAGTCAAGAGAGAGGAGTGAGATGATGCGAGAGAAACAACTCTGCAGACACTGAGGTCAGTGAAGAAGGAGGGGGAAGAGGTGCTCAAGAAGCTGGAGCAGAGATTCTTCCCTTGCAACTCATGATGAAGACCATGGTGAAGCAGGCTGTCCCCCTGCAATCCATGGAGGTCCACAGTGGAGCATATATCCACCTGTAGCCCGTGGAAGGGATCCCGTGCTGGAGCAGGTCGATACCTGAAAGAGGCTGTAACCCCATGGGGGAGCCTGCGCTGGAGCAGGTTTGCTGGCAGGGCTTGTGATTGCATGGGAGACCCACGCTGGAGCAGCCTCTTCCTGAAGGACTGCACCCCATGGAACGGACCCACTCTGGGGCAGTTCATGAAGATCTGCATCCCATGGGAAGGACTCACGTTGAAGAAGTTTGTGGAGAACCGTATCCCATGAGAGGGACCTCAGGCTGGAGCAGGGGAAGAGTGTGAGGAGTCCTCTCCCTGAGGAGGCAGGAGCGGCAGAGAGGCAGAGACAACATGTGATGAACTGACCAGAGCCCCCATTCCCCATCCCCCTGGGCCACTTGGGGGGAGGAGGGAGAGAAACGGGAGTGAAGCTGAGCCCAAGAAAGGAGGGGTGGGGGAAGGTGTTTTAAGATCTAGTTTTATTTCTCATTATCCTACTCTGATTTGATTGGTGATAAATTGAACTTCCTTTTCTCCCCAAGTTCAGTCTGTTTTGTCCATGACAGTAATTGTTGAGTGATCTCTCCCTGTCCTTATCTCGATCCATAAGCCTTTCATCATATTTCCTCTCCCCTGTGCAGCTGAGGAGGGGGAGTGATAAAGTGGTTTTGGTAGGCACCTGGCATTTATCCAGGCCAAAGCAAAACTTTAGATGACAACCAGTGACTTGTTTTGGCCATGAGTCCAGTCCTGGGCTTTCAGAAGTAGAGCTGCCTGGAATCAGCTGTAGTGGCTCCTCACCCTGGTTTTACTTACATGACTTTGTGTTTTGTTCTGGCTGTTATACTTAAAGAGCAAAGATCTGGCAGAGTTATTTTAGTGCCTAGGGTTCACAAGTATGATTCTGGATATTGTGCAATAGACCTGGAAGCTATTAAGCCAACTACACTTTCAATTTCTTTATCTATGCTTGGTCCACTTGCAAGAGGTAAAGGAAGTCCCTGGTAAAAGTCTGGTGCATTAGGAAAGGTAGAGAACAGAGCAGCAGGCTTGAAATCAGATGGCTTTGATTAGTCCATCAATTCCCCAGAGATGGTCCCCATGATGTATGGGGTTCCATAGGTATGGGAATCCTAGGTAGTTTTTCCAGCTTACGGAAGGGTGAGCAGGTGCAAAGAAGGGCAGATGAGAAGCAGCTCTGTCCTATCTAGAGGACATTATGAAATGAATATCTAAACACACCTACAGCTCTGCTCACAGGTGTCAGGGCCCTGAGGGCACTGATAGGTCTTCATGGCCCTGAATAACCTCACCTGGGGCTTCCACCCACAGACCCAGCCCTGCCCCTGCTCAAGCTTATTCTGTGGCCTCTAGTAAGAGTGGTTGTCTCTGGCTTGGCTGTATCTTTATGGGGGCTCTGCTGGTGATGGCAGGGCTTTGTCTGATCCTGGATGTGATCATGGCCTTCATGGGGAGGTGTGGGGATGAACCTACCAGGGAAGGCAGGCTGCAGCCTGGGCTCCGGGGCCATTGCTGAGCCTCCATGGCCCTGACCCACCTCATCTGGCAGGGCCCAGGGCTTGGCTGAAATGGGGCTCCTGGGCACTCGGGTCCTGCTTGGAGCTGCTGGGGTTTGGTTCAGCTCTGGCACAGTTTTGATATTATCCTTAATAAGCTTTGGAGAGGTCGTACCCTCTCATGTGAGATCTTTAGTGTGATCCTTTGTCATTTCTGTTACTGAGTTTGGCATTATTTTATCAGTGAACCTAGAAGTCTTTTGAAAGCTGGCTGGATGGCAATTGCTCTATTTTTGCAGCTGAAGATTGAGACAATTGTTTTTTGTTGATGGCTTTCTTTCCCCCCTCTGGGCGTTTGTGGCCTCTCTGAAGCAGCGTAAGCACATACCATGTCCGTGCAGTGTGCTTGGAGGGGATTTGTTCAAGATCCGCCAGTCCGGCTGTACACCATCTTGGGTGCCTTCTCACCATGGCTCTGGAAAGGGGAAGGCAGGGAGAGGGAGCAGTGTGGCAGTGGGCAGCCCTGGGCCCGTGAGCTTGGTCTCATAAGGCCCTGTTGCTGGAGATGGTGAAGGCGGCTTTTGGGGAGAGAAAGGGTGTAATGGCAGCAGCTGGGGAGCCAGGGCAGGACAAGGTGGCATGCTGCTGGGGAGGGTGTGGGACAGCAGGCTTCAGGGGAGTGCAAGGAGCAGAATGCTGCTGGCTGCTTAGGAGACTCAGGTGTGGGAAAGCTGTGTGTTACTCTTGTCACCTCTTCAGACCCACTTTATATTCACTGGAGGGAAACACTTACAAACACTGTAAATGGAAGAAGTGAAAACTGCTTTTGTACTCTGAAAGCAGTGTATTTGGGAAAGTAGTGAGGATTTTTTAAATGGAAGTCTTAATTACTAATTTGCTTTTAATGATCTTATTTTCCCTTAAGTAGTTGTACAGGGGATATTTACTGTTTTTTGATCAAAAGATGTATGAGTTTTGATTATTTTTTTCCCAAATCCTGTTTTCCATAGTACTGATGATGTTTCGACTTCCCTTTTCAGGTCCTGTCTCTCACTGAAATACTCTGGCCATGTGTGCTTTTCTTGATTCTGGCTGCAATCCGCTTCCAGGAGCCCCCCAAATACAAGGAAAACTGTAAGTTTTGTTTCACCTTTGTTTTATTTTGGTTGCCTCAGCTTGTAGAAGTATTTAGCAAAAATTAAAGATACCCTAGAAAGGGTGACTTAATGTAGTGGAGTCAATGGAAAAAACCCTAGAGTGGGATTCAATGTTGTCTAGCTGCGGATCTGAGCAAGTCATATTTTGGTGAAAAAGAAATACAAAGTTTAAAGTCTGATTTGTCAGACCAGTTTCAGATATCCATTATGGAGTAAAGTGGATTACTTGGGTTTTAGTTATACTTATTTCTTTCTGTTGACAGATGGCATTTAGATGCCTGGCTTTGATGTAGATAATTATGCAGAAGATGTTAATAGTTAGACAAGATGAATCTTACCCCTACCCACTTCCTGGAATTTAGAGTGAGCATTTTGCAAATGGTAAATTCTTCCATTTCCATCCACAGTTCAAAACTTTTTACGACTACCTCCACGCTTTAAAGTTCTTTTTTGGCTTTTGTCTTGTCAAAAGTTAACTTCATTCAGAAAAGAATGACTTATTACAGTTTACTGAGTTTAATACTGTTATTTCCCAGGTGTCAGTAAGCTGGGGTTAAACCAGATTTAGCTACATTAGAAACCAATTTGGTAAAACAATTATAGATCTGTAGGGTGAAACATCTGGACAGAACCTAGTGTGCACTCCATACATTTACTTTAGACTGTCTCTAGTCTAGGCCCAAGGATGCAATGCATGCTAGTGGTTTGAGAACATTAGGTGTGTTCTTGGAGTACACTTTCTGCATTGTTGTAGCAGAAAGGGCTCCAGTGTGTGCACTCGGAGAGCTTTTTACAATGTGAACTGAAGTGTGCTAAATAAATAAAAAAAAAAATCATCTGCAAATGGTCACTCACAACATAAATTTCATTATTTTATACATCAGGTACAGTTCCTGAGGAATGGAATATGGTTTGACTAAAGGAGCAATTTTTAATGGTACATGTCTTCAAAATATTAGCTCTTGAATTTAAATCAAATTCAGATTTTTAAATAATATGTATATGTAGCAAATTCACCATTTCTTCATCTTTCAATTATGAATATTCAGTAAGAGTGCTAGCCCAAATACTAGCTTTCTCATCTTCTCATTTCATTCCCTTAATTTTGATGTAATTGCTGCCAAAAGAAGGTTATCCAGAGGAAGGGGGGAATGACCTTTCAAGTATTTCTCAGTTTTAGCTGTTTTAAACGAAGCAATGAGGTTAAATAGGAACCTTATAGCTGTTCTTTGTTTCAAAATAAGCAAAAAGTTGCTTTATATTTTGAGGTATAAATTTTCAGAGAATATGGAAAAGTTGTTGTTTAGATAGTCTTGATGGAAGTAGATTCAGACATTCCTGAATAGCAGTTCCTTTATCTTGTGAAACCTGGGGTAAAAGACAAAATACTACTTTGTGAAGAGCTCTACATTCTAATCTAGATCACAAGTCATTTTGTGCAGAGAGGCTAGCAAGCCTATGATGTTGCTACAGAATTATGACTGAAAATCAGCTTTCCAAAGACTGCTCTTGAACATTACCCTGTTGTCTTAGTCAGGCACAGAAGTTACCCATTTTCTGTGGTTATTTAGTTATTCTTATACAACTTCACAGGTGACAAAGCCATTTTCTGTGAGAACAGAACACAATGTGATGGTACAGGTTTATAACTGTGATGTTACTGGTTTTAATTCTGCCACTGTTTGGGTTTAGGTTACTTAGAAGCTCGGGATTTGCCAAGTCGGGGTGTTTATCCTTTCATACGGACTCTTTTCTGTAATCTTGGTTCAAGATGCAAGAATACTAGTTACATGACACAGAAAACCAGCCGCTTACGGTAAGATACACAAGTCTGACAGAGCCGTCAGTATCACAGTGCATCTTTTTTTCTACAGTAAAGTTTCTTATTTTGTAGGCAGGTAGAATAGAAACTTTGTTCATCTATACTAAGTTTCCTTCAGTTTCCTTGTAAATTCAAAAGATGTAGGGCTTTAGTCGTGCCTCTTCCTAATTTTTCTCTGCCTTTCACGGGCATTTCATGCTGTTATTTGACACCAAAAAATGGTCTTAGGGAGATGTGGAGAAGTACCTTGTAATTCTGTTGTCCTTCACTGCTGCCAAGTGAAAGCATACTTTTATCCTTCAGTGGAAAGTCTTTTATTCTGTGCGGGTGAGACTGAGCGACAAGAAGTATATCATACATGGATTTAAACTTTGAGTATTTCAGGACCATACATAATGGGAGAAGTAAACAGAAAGGCAAAACAAGGATAACTCTTGAGTAAGCAGACCCATAAAGAGCCAAAAGGAACAGCAGAAGCTCTGTAATAGAGGGCCTTGTCATAGGATCCCAGAATGCAGGAAGAAAAAAGATGAACTTGAATTTGCCTTTCTCTTTGAGAAATGTAGTGATTTCACCTATTCCAAAATGCTGAAAAGCACTGAGATGCAAAACCACTTACGCAAATGGGCTGAAGGATGTAGTCGTAAGCAGCCTTTCAAAATATATACCAACAAGGCAAATTAAGCTGAACTAGTCAGGATATATGTGTGTATATATGTATGTTTATTCCCAGAAAATTGAGATTGTCTACCAAAAAAGATCTTAGAGGTTTGAGCCAGGTAAGTGTGTAAGAGCATTAAGTTTTTATGGTTTGTTATTGAAGTTTATAGATAGCATTAAATTCAGCATGCAGCAAGCTGGAAAGCTTCAGTATCACAGTAATAGGCCATAATGCTTATCGCTTGACCTAGACAGTCTGTTCTAGTTCTATTATGTAGAGCTGTTGATTGGGCCTAAGATGATGCAAAAGAAATCTGGTTTATGGGTAAACTTTTTTCTTAAGAAACAATTTACTAGTAGAATTGAAAACTTAAGTTTAAGCTATTGTTATTAGTCCAGATCTATGATACAACATACTTATATATGGAAATAACAATATTACAGTAATACCCCTAAACAAAAATTCTCATAATACAGTTAAAATTGTTACAAAACCACTTAGTTTCTACTGCTTTCCCTGTGGTTATGCTTACCTTTCCACTGCTGCTCTGGGTCATAAAGTCAGTGGCTGTGGTCTAGTGGTGGCGGGTTTGTTACAGCAAGTCATGATCTGGAGGCCTTTACCTGGAAGAATGTGGTGTTGATGGCTTTTTTTGCTCCAGGTGCCCTTCGGGTCACTTGTTTGCTATTGTGCTTTTGTACCTTGCTTGTTCCTCACTGGTCTGCAGCTCTATGATGCATCTGAATTTATATGGTACATCTGAATGTGTATGGTATCTTTTACATATGTGAGGTATCTGTTCTTTTTCTTGATACTTATAAATTGGCTTTGTCTGGGTGTAGTTCTGCATTTTAACTGATCACTGGTGAGTTGTTTGTAGCCATAGGGTCCTCAGAGCCAGTCCGTGTCCCATCTCTTGTCATTCTGGACCTGCACTCTAGTACCCTGCTTCCAGTGTACTCGCTTCTCAAGACCTCTGCTATTATACTGGGCCTGTATTCCTCTGCACTGCTTCACTATCTTAATGATAAATATCTTTTGTGCTGAATTATCACTTGTTACTACTATCTGTAAAAAAACTATAGTAATATTCTACAATGACAAGTGAAAGTGATGCAAATAGCCATAGCCATCTGGCCAGAAAAAAGAAGTTATTAAAGCTAAACCAACTCAAAACCAAAACTGCAGGCACCTTGAGGCAAGTTCAGACAGCCAAGGTGGCAAGCCTCTATGCCATGGTCTTGCAAACTCTGTACAAACTTGTAGCCTGTTACTTGTGGTGGCAATGCTATCTTACTGGATTATAGAGTTACAATAATGGGTGGCCTTTTTAAAAATTGTTTCCTAAAAGGATATTTTTTATCTATATCACTAGTCCAGATGCCATCTAAGTGTGTTAAACCTCTAGAAACTGTAAGCTATATTGACTGCTAAGCATGATTATTTACACTGCTTTGAACTGCTCAAATTACATTTCAGCTCAAAAAAAAAAGGCAGAAAAGAATTTTCTGGAGGCAGTCTTAGACCTATATAAGAATGGGGGGCATTTTTCAGTGGCTTTAAATTTTTCAACTGAAATGTAAAATGCATGCATTTAGGCATATTTATACACTCAATAAACTATGCTAGGTAACACATAGCCTAGGTAAGGAAAAGGGGTAAAAACATAGGATGAAGTTCATTCTGAGGTCAGTCTATTCCAGCAGGTCCATCAGTATAAATTAAATCAACCTCAGGGCTGCTCTGACTTATGCTTGGCTGCCAACAGCCTGAGGAACACAGACTGTCAGCTTGATCAGCCAAACATAACTGAATCCTACAATGTCCCTGTGTTGACTGGAGAGAAGCGGTGGCATAGGAACTGTAATACCAATTATCTTCCCTTCAAGGATTTATATCAAACCGTAGGCGGTTCTTTTATAATAATTTTCAGGGACTTTTTTGCATCAACAATGTTGTGTTTATTAAGTGTAAATCAAACACTGTGCATAGTTTTCATGGACACTTAACCCATTTGTTCTCACAGTAAGTAGCTGTTTTGGTTTCGGCTGCCGCCGGCAACAAAAGTGCCACGCGGCCCCCACTCCCCCCGCCAGCGTGCGGAGGAGAATGAAAAGAAACAGGCAGAAAGTGGTGGGTGGGGATAAGGGCAGTTTAACAGAACAGTAAACAGAGGGAAACAGGAACAACAACGGTACAAATAAGGAGAAAACACAACAATGAACCGCACGACCCAGAGAGCCGCTCTCCCGAAACAGGACCAGCGCCGCGCCCCCCAAGCCGCGAGTGAGGTCCTGCCGTGCCGCCCCCCTCACCGGAACCCAGCGTGCA